ACTGCTTTGCACACTCTTGGCTTTTGACTACCACATGAAGCTCGATGAGCTTCTTGGTCAAATAGCCCGTACACAGCATGGAGGTGTGTTTGGGGTCATTGTCCTGTTGAAAGATAAATGATGGTCTAAGTAAACGCAAACCAGATGGGATGGCATGCCGCTGCAGGATGCTACCGTAGCCATGCTGGTTTAGTGTGTCTTCAATTTTGAATAAATCCCCAACAGTGTCACCAGCAGCTGGTAGAGATGTGTCTGTTATTGGAACATTTATTTGGGCTCTGATTCAAGGTGATGTTAACTTGCGATTTCTGAGGCTGGGGACTCGGATGAATTTATCCTCAGCAGCAGAGGTGACTCTTGGTCTTCCTTTCCTGGGGTGGTCCTCATGTGAGCCGTTTCGTTGTAGCACTTGATGGTTTTGGCGCTATACTTGGGGACACATTCAACGTTTTAGCAATTTTACGGACTGACTGACGTTCAGTTCAGGTAAAAATGGACTGTCATTACTCTTTCCTTAGCTGATTGGTTCTTACCATAAAATTAATTCTAACAGTTCTCAAATAAGGCTGTCAGCTGTGTACCAACCTGATTTCTGCACAGCACAACTGATGGTCCCAACACCATTAAGAAGGCAAGAAATTCCACAAATGAAAAGCCACACCTGTGAAGTGAAACCATTTCAGGTGACTACATCATGAACATCACTGAGAGAAGGCCAAGGGTTTGCAGCGCTGTCAACAAAGCAAAGGGTGGCTACTTTTTAGGAATATAAAACATAGAACATATTTAGAGTTATTTATCCATTTTTTTCTTTGCTACATAATTGCATATATCTTCCTCCATATGTTTGATATCTTCAGTATGTGTATACAATGTAGAAAGTAGTAAAAAATAAAGAAAAAACTATCAAATTAGAAGGTGTGCCCAAACCTTTGTCTGGTAGTGTGAATATATAACTCAATCCCCCACATATGGATGCTGGAATGCCTAGATCAGGGGTCCCCAATCCCAGTCCATGAGGGCCGGTGTCCCTGCAGGTTTTAGATCTCACCCTGGGTCAACACACCTGAATCACATGTTTAGTTCATTACCAGGCCTCTGGAGAACTTCAAGACATGTTGAGAAGGTCATTTATCCATTTAAATCAGCTGTGTTGGATCAAGGACACATCTAAACTCAATAGAAATGTGTTGAACAACACTAGAGGCAGGACTTTAAGCCACTAACCCTAAGCCAGTAGCACAAGTCACCATTAAGTCTGCCAAGTGGTCTGTCCCCACTGCTAGTCAGAAGTCAGAAATGAGGGGATTGCACTACCAGAAGGCAACATTGCAGACATCGAGGACAGCTATGTACCAATCCCACAGCCAGATGGAAACCACGAAGAGGTCACTAGGAAAGCCACAACCACCAAATACCTGCAAAGAGTCAGGCAAGTGCTGAGGAATCAGCTGAATAGAAAGAACAAGATCTGGGCTATCTTCACCTACGCCCTTCCACGGAACAGGTACCCTGCTGGGATTATAAACTGGCCAACGGAGGAGACAGAAGCCACTGACATCAAGGCAAGAAAGCTCCTTACCATGCATGGAGGGGTTCACCCCAAATCTAGCACGCTGATACTGGACACTAAGTGAAAGGAAAAGAGGCAGAGGAGTGGTGAGTGTCAGAACCACTGCCCAGGATAAGACAACAAACATCAATCAGTACATTAGGAAGATGGCTAAAACTGACTGTGTGATTGCTGAATACTTCAGGCAGCAGGAACCCAAGAAAGAGGAGCAAGGAGAAAAACCATCATTGACGGAGATAGAGGAAGTGGCTGACATCCAAAACCAGTGGCTGGACAAAGCTGGACTGAAAGACAGCACAGAGGCACTAATCATGGCAGCACAGGAACAAGCTCTGAGCACAAGATCCATAGAAGTTGGAGTCTACCACACCAGGCAAGACCCCAGGTGCAGGCTGTGTAAAGATGCTCCTGAGACACTCCAGCACATAACAGCAGGGTGTAAGATGCTAGCAGGCAAGGCATACATGGAACGCCATAACCAAGTAGCTGGCATAGTGTACAGGATCTGTGTTGAGTATGGCCTGGAAGTCACGAGGTCAAAACAGGACATGGCCCTCAAGGTGGTCAAGAATGACTGAGCTAAGATCCTGTGATACTTCCAGATACAGCCAGACAAACTGGTGATGGGTAACCAACCGGGTATAGCAGTGGTGGACAAGCAGAGGAAAACGGCTGTAGTGATAGATGTAGCTATACCGAATGACGGCGGTATCGGGAAGAAGGAACATGAGAAGCTGGAGAAGTGCCAATGGCTGAGAGAAGAACCTGAGAAGCATTCGGAGCACTCAGTGCAGTGACCTCCAAGGTAGGCGAGTGGCTCCAGCAGATCCCAGGAACAACATACGAGATCGCTGTCCAGAAGAGCGCAGTCCTAGAAACAGCAAAGATACTGGGCAGGACCCTCACGCTCCCAGGCCTCTATATCCTCCTTTACATTTTTAGTGAAATGCATTTTCGCTCCTACAAAACGTCTTACAAAGATGTCCATATAATGAGACACAGTACTTGGAGAGGGCTTAGCCTTTTGGGTTCCAAGAGCATTTTCTGGTTACTAGTGTGGTGAACCAATATTCAGTCATTTGTCTGAAAAGAAGCAATGATGGGAAAACAAGAAAATGAAAAAAACATGTCGATATGTTGTTTACAAATACAATTACCGTAGGTCACAAGTAAATGAGATCTCAGAGAAAATGTATTTCAGCTGATGCAGGTGTGATTGGTAAAAGACAGGGATTTTTTTCAATGCGAGTAACCACAAGCATATTAAAGTCAAATTGAAATTCAAGTTTTACAAAAAAAAATCATCAATGTTTTGTTAACTCCTGTTGTCAATTCCTTTTTATAACAAAGGTTTTATACTTTTATACTAATTGTGCATTCATGCATGTTTTTGTGATACTGACTGACAAATCTTATTAAAACATCACTGTTAGGCCAGCATTGTTAGCAGCACCATGTTAGCAGCTACCATTTCTGTGGCTACTTGCATTAACATGTATTATGCTTTGAATGTTGAGGTTATATGAAAACATTTATTTGAGCTTCCCAAGTCTGACTTTAGCTTTTGTAGAGGAAACCATTAACAAAGGCAATCTGATACTAAATCTCTTTGCTTTCAATGAACAGGAGCGGCTGATCACTCTAATAACATTGAAACTGAACAACACTGAAAAAACAACAACATCTAATTGGAATTTAAGAAGCTTGGAAAGAAAAGTGACTAGACTTCTTTAAGTCAGCTCTCATCCGAGAAGCTTCTTCACTTCTAAGACCAAATAGTGGGGAGTTCAGGGTTTTTTGCACTAGTGGGAGTTGTCCCTGAAGATTGTTGTTGACCCACTATAGATCACTTGCCTCATCGCATGAGCCAAGGTGTAAAAAAGGGTGTCAGTCATTAGCAGCAGAGGTTTCGGGTGTGCGTGGGTGTTAAGACGTCTGGAAAGGGATCTCAAAACTTAGTGTCGTAAGCCACCACCTCTGTTCAAAGATGGTCGTTCACATACATTCACATGGACATAGATGGCTTCTTTCACTCCTCTTTCAAACCATCTGTCCTCTCTGTCCAAAATGTGAACACTGGCATCCTCGACAGAGTGACCTGTGTCCTTTAGATGCGGATGTACAGCTGAGTCTTGTCCTGTCGAGGTGGCTCTTCCATGTTGTGCCATGTGTTTATGAAGTGGCTGTTTGCCACTTTGCTTTCCAAGCTCCTTAAATTACCATGACCTGGATGACTGAAAACCTACACAGACATCTACTGGCAACCAATACTCATCTTAGCTAGCTAGGAAAACTTCATTTTTACAAAGTCCAATTGCAACGTAAAACAATTTGTCCGTCTATTCTCTATTATTGTTTATGTCCTATTACTTGTTATTAAAAAATAAAACAATTTTTACTCCTTGCCTTGCATCTGTAAGTGACCACTGCCTGGACTTGACAGAGCAGTATCATATTATCATATCAAGTGTGTCTGGATGTTATCTGGTAAAACTCAATAATATTGAAGTCTGTTTTATTCCTGTGAACACTGTGAGTGTGTAACACGGATGCATTGAGAAAAATTGGATAATGAAGTGAAAGTCAATAATTTATGTGATCACTTGAGTGAAGATTTTTTTGCATTATGAATTACTAAAGCTCCAGGAACAGAGCTAGGCTGTGCAGCAATTTGGCAATTATATGCAAATTGCTACAGAATGAAAAAAAAACAAAAACAACTATTGACCACTGAAAAACATTAGCAGCAAGTAGTGAGTAGTGGCACTTTCTCTGCTGATAAATCTACTCAAAATGTCTAGTCGGCTTACTCCACCACATTTAGGACTTGATTTCACTGCACCGACAGATGCTGAAGATAGAAACCATTTGTGTTTATGCTTGTTTCCCTAAAGCCTTGGTTTAAGGTTATTATGACTTTTTAAAGCCTCTGAACTGCATTAACTAAACTAGACACATAACTGCCATGCAGGACCTATCTTGTATAAAAAGCACAGATTACACCAGCGTTCATGGTAACACTTTGTGTTCTGCTTCTTCTTTTCACAGAGATGTGAATGAGATGTCCACAGTATGTTATTAGTATAAGCAACAATTAAAAACTGTACATTCATTCTGTAGCTTATATTATCGTACACAAAAAGGGGAGAGAGGAGAAGAATTAAAGTTTCAGGTTGGCTTTACTGTCTGGAGGGCCATGTCAAGTATGTCAAGTATGTCAAGTCGTGTGAAAACCTTTTCTTTCAAATGTAACTGCCTTCATAAAGTCCCCAGGCTGCCACCTGACAGGATCAGTGTACACATGTAACGATACAACAATGTCCAGCTAATGATCTGATGCTGCTAGTAGTCCTGGAGAGGACTCATGGATTGGTGGTGTTGATGTTATCTGCTGTCTGTGCCAAATCCATGGCAGAGATTGACTCACCGCGGGTGTTGCTGGAGAGACGTTTGCGTTGGCTGGTGGAGGTATTGTGGGGAAGCAGGGTGTTCTGCTGGTGGTTGCTATCGATGGGACTCGTGGCAATGATGTTGTCCTTGTATTTGTTCATTAGCGCCAACTTGGTGTTGTCACTCACTGCAGATAAGAAGAATGATTTTTTAAATGTAAGCTAGGAGACGTACCAACCTTAAAGCTTCCTAAAGTCACGTGTTTTATATTTGACACATGAGTTTGAGGTGGAAGGTTCAATAAACACTCTTTTTTGTTTAATTGAATTTTTGGGCAAAGAGTTAAAATGAGAAAGCACCCACTTGGAAAAACATTTTTGTTTCTTTGCTTTGGCTTGACGTGGCAAGCATAAAGTGTTACCATTACTAAGAAAGAAAATCCAGGATGTTGTTTGCTGTACCAGAAGTCAAACAGGCAAAATTAAAGACAGACAAAAGCTGGCATGAAATGAAAACTTATTAAGGCATTAGACAGAGCCCATTTAAGCCTCAGAGGGAAAAATGATCTATTTCTGTAAATATTAAGAGCTGAAATTCCATGGAAACACTAAAAATCATATATTACTGCAGATATGTGACTGTCATGCTATTTAGTCACAGACACTGTTTGTCATGGTAGCTGTAATTTTCTGCCAATGTCAGTATGTCCTCCACTTTGTTCCAGTTTAAAAAAAAACACATCTGTGTCATGGATTCGGATTAAATTTAATTCAGGATCTCTGTGGATGATGTTTTCAGAGCCACTACTATGCCTTGTCTCACCATAATTTCTAAAATATGTGTGCATTAGCTTAGAGAATTGCAAAATAGCAAAAAGAAATGAGCGAAAGCATGAATTATTAACAAAAGTAAATAAATCCATCAGTATTTTAAAACGTCGCTTGCAGACGTCTAGTATGTGGTATATTTTCTAATACATGCCATTGTATTCAATAATTAATAAACCCAACTAGTTTTTTCAGTATATTTGTCCATCTCAGTGTAATTCAAACGAATAAATAATGACACAAAATGTCTTAATAACAATAAACTACAGATAATTTAACACGTATTTCTCTATTATTAATGTCTTTTTTTAAAATATGGAAACAATAAAATGTTGCAATTGTGCAAAAGAAAAATCTTTATGAAAATTTTGATATTTTAAAGAAATAAAGTTTTATTTCAAAACATTTAAATGAGACATTTGGTAGAACAACAGTAGCCGCACTACCAGGTACAGTAAACTGTAAGACAAGATTATTTTGAAGAAGTGCAAAGTGCACAAGTGACAACAGACACGAAATGCCCCTGACATCTTGTTTTTCATTTGTTTATGTATGTGTACCTACTACATTATACATAGAGCAGAGAAAAGGTCAGAGGAGCCAAAACACATTTACTGAAATTCATTATTTTAAGTCTAAATTCAAATGTTATTTTCTGAGTGACCTCTCTGATGTTCACGCTATTTACTATTCCATGCATGAGCTGCTGTCTCCATTTTTTATTTCTCTAGTTCATTGCGTTACACATCTTAAATGCATTATGCACAGGATTACTCTGCTCCATAAGCGCTGGGGTGGAGCGGTTTGGATTTTACAAGAGCACAGCTATAAGAGATCTCCTGATGAATCCGAGTGGTGACTCTCTCCTTAGTTGAAATTCAGAGGCTGTACCTTCATCACAACTGCTCCACTTCATGAAGTAATTCTCATGGGAGTGGTGCTCAACTCCAAAGTCCACCAATTATGAAAAATGCTTTCTCTAAAACATAAAAACCAGATTTCTTGGCAGGTATGTGGCTCCATAATTATGTCAGTGGTGACAAAAATACTGTTTAAAGTTTTTATATTTATATGTGATCTGCATCCTACATGGGTCACACAGCTGATGTTATTCTACTAACTGTAGAAACAAGTGAACAAGATGCCTTATGTTTGTGGATTTTACACAGGCAAAACATTTCCACCATGCATGTTTGTGAAAATGTTTTTTTATCCTCTATCATTCCCTCCAAATTCATTTAGATAATTACTTCTAACCTATGAGAGAAAATAAAACTTATCCAATTAATTTTTCATTTATTTCACTCTGCAATTGCTGCAACTGAGTTTGTGTAATACGCAAACATAACCCCCTTTGACGCATTGTCTTGTAACTTAGAAAACCGTATGGCTGAGGAGGAGGAAAAACAAATGCATTAATAAGATGGGTAGATGAACATCCGCAATAAAATGTAACTGCTTTATGACTATAAAAGATAACATTTCATAGCTACATGGAGTCTCAACCTCTATCATTACTTAGATAAATGCACAGTGTAAGATGAAAACAAACAAAGAAACATCTCCGGCTAGGAGCTACGCTTGTCTCTCGTTTGGTAGGACATGAAATTATCTGTGTTTATCTGCTGAAAATGAGTAACAGCATAAGATGAAATAAAACAATAAATACTCTTTAATGCTAAATACCAATAGCAGCCAATAAGCCGATGACCCTAAAGTCAAGGTAAATGATCTGTACTTGTAATTATCATGAGAAATATTGTTCAGTGCACTTGTTCTTTAGGTCGCATGTCTTTTCTGACCTGGCTGTTTGTGCATCTTTCAGCTTACCAGGTGCGAGGTCCATATTATTCTTGTCATTACAGCCCTGGAGCGAGTCCAGGGTACGGGTGACTTGGCTGGCAAATTCCTCCCCACCATTCATGCACTCCCGCTGCAGATGGTGACGCAGGTCGGTAATGTCATACTCATACCTGGGGATGTAGTTGAAATCAATTAGCGAAATCATTATCAGACTTGTCTAAATTAGAATAAATGTCACAAGTGGCTAATGTGTGACGCAATGTACTGATAAAGGCATCAAAACACATTACAGGCTAATACAATAAAACCAAGTGTGGTGTGTACAGGCTGATTTGTGGAAGCAGCTGTCTATATTCAGGCAATATTAGGCTCTGCTTGTGTAGCATGGAATTAACAAGATACTGTTATTCAACTCAGCAATGTGTACGCATGCTGTGTGCTTATATTTAGGGCTTGAGCTCTAACCATCCCACATCCAAACCCTGCTTGTACCCATCCAAAATCGGTGTCTCCCGGATACTGAGGGTACCGCTGGAGTTTGGACCCTGACCCCGGGAGTTCCTCAAGCTCTCGCGTGCCTGGCCTCCCATCAGCACTGATGGGATGTAGTGGATCTCATTAGCTGCCTCAGCACTCGCGCTCTTCTGGGGCTGAGGGATGCGGCGGCGTTTACACCAGCGCCTGCGAGTGTAGAGGATCAGGACCAGGCAGAGGATGGACAGCAGAAGGGCAATCATCCCGCCCTGAGGGGAGGAGGGTGGCATTTGGAGGAGAGACAGAAAAAAAAGGGGGAGAGGAGACAGAAGCGGAGAGAGAGAGAAAGCAGTGTGAGTCAAAGGCGAGAACAGAGTCAGAAAATCTTGCCAATAGAATACGGATCAAAGTCAAAGTCGCGATGCCAACAGCAACATTTGAAAAAGGTTGCAGCGACAGTTTACTGTCTTGAATTACGCCTACAGTGTTTTTACATGACACCAGCTCTCTGAAACATTCCTCTACTTTGTTTCAAGGTGAAACGGTAGCAGAATACGCCTTTTAACTTCATTTGTTTAAACTAATCGTAACTCATGGCAACATTTTAAGTGCTGAGATTTTTTCTTAAATTTAAAAAATGCACTTATTCATGTTGTTGCATGTGTCATACCTCAACACATGTGTGGAGATAGGCACAACAGTTTGGCTCTGTGTAAGAATCCAACCCTCTAATTAAAATGTTCCATCTCATTAGGTCAACACAAAAGTCAGAAAATCATACGCTGTGGTTTTATGGAGTACATGCCAAACAGTCTTGCCCAGGAGCAGCACCTTCAGCCCTCACATTGATGAAGAACATTACATTTTCCAATACAGGTTGCATTTGTTTGTACTGTATAAATTGCATATGCTGCAAAATGTAGACTGCTTGTGCATGCTTATGTTTTCATATGATTAAGGTCTTTGACAATGAACTGAATTTTTTTAATAAAAATATAATACTTGTCTATGAAAGTATAGTAATCTTAGAAAACACACGCATGTAGCAAGTGGAAAGAGAATGAAAAAACAGTAACCAACAACGCTGTTATTTACATGCAAAGCTGTAAATACCACTAAAGGGAAAACAATACTGAATACAGGATCACTCTTCAGTTTAACATCCACTGACACTGTTATAAAGCCCAAGCTGATCTGATGGGAAGCATATGCAAAGAAAAAAGGAAATAACTATGAAAGCTGTTATGAAGTTTACACACATTTATGGGAATGAAGCTCATGGTAAATTTAGGCTTTAATGATTTGCATGACTTCTATATTCTTTTTCCATGCTGACTAATTTCAGTGACTTTAAATACCAAGAATTAGGTGCACATGTTTGAATTTTTGTCTATTAACGGTCTATTACCCTTCAATTAGAGATCACATTTGACTAAAACTGTGTTTTTTTGCCAGCACAAAAAGGGCTGGCTTGTTCTGACCAATACTCAGAACACTGGGAAAGATGATGCAGATCTAAGACGGAGAATTCTAGAATATATACAAATCTGTTAGGAAGTCAGTAAGTACAGTGTACGTGTGATGTTTTAGGATCAATGCTTTTAAAAACAATGTAATGCTGGTGACCACCTGTAGTATGAACTTGAAAATCGCTTCACTGTGAAGTGATCATATTTACAAGATTATCAGAAAACCTGACCTCTGACGCTGAGTTTGAGGTCACCACGATTTAAACTTTTCCTACTTTTTAGCAGATGCTACTATGGCATCAATTTGACAGTGCAAAGGCACCTCCTTCTCAAGTTATGGCATTCACAAACTTGGGTGTCCATGCTGCCCGCCCGCTCTGCAGTGATATCAGTCTTTTAAATGAGGGTTAAAATTTGTTGTAGAATTGTTTGCATTAGCTCATAGCTCTATAACTGGCAGAGCTAGTCCTGGTAGTCAGGCAATCGTCTCGCTGCCAGTTGTTGATTCTCACCATCCACTACTTTGCTCTTTGATAGATACATAAACCTGAAAACTACTTTTGCACAGCCATTCTCATGTACTGCTGTCTCTGTTTACATCAGGACTACTAAGGGAAAATAAGATCTACTATTAAGCATTTACTTCAAGCATTTACTTTCCACGGAGTGACAACTGAGACTCTCATTTCATTTCCACGGGTTTTGGATGTGTATCCATTCCCATCTCACATTTTATCTGCGGCTTCATAACGTACTTGTTGAAATTTGTATCATTTTAATCTCTAGCAGTGAAACTCAAGCTACAACAAAAGACTTCGTTAGTTGCTTCCAGTGTTACTCTCTGCAGACACTGAAGCCGCAGTGTGATCAGCTCGGGCCCATTTCACATCACAACGCAGAGATGTGACAAAAGTCAAAAACAAATGTGCCCCGCTCGCGGCCTGTGGAAACGCACAAGACAGAAGTCAATTGTGACATTCAACTCAGGAGGTACTGATCTCAGATGACTGGGTCAGGTCACATAACTGTTTTTATTTTCCTCTTTTTCCCTCTGATTTTAACGACTTATGAGGGAGCTGATGGTGTAGAAGCATGCAGTGGCATCTACACCCGCAGAGAAGGCACAAGATGGACAGATGAAGGGCGACGAGCCTGCCCTGAGGACAGGTTAGCAGAGTGGATCGAGACAGAATCAGACAGAAACCGGAGAGAGAGAGCCAATGAAAGGGTTTACAGTCAAAGGGAGAGCAGAAAAAGCGAGAGCAGAGTCAGAGAATCCTGCCAAGAAGCAGGATATGGATCAAAGTCAAGGCAAGTCAAAAGCACACAGCCTGTGAAAACACAGTGAGAGAGGGATTCTAAGTCTGAATATCAGCCTGCAGCTCCTCTATAGATAAAGGCAATGATTGTTCATGGGCAGTTTTATGTTTTTGAGTGTGACTGTTTTGAATATTTAAAGTAATGAAAGACCGAGAATGATGAGATAACATTCAGACAAGACTGTAACACATAACACTGCATGCACTGTGCATGCAATTTATCACCTCCCTGCGACTAATCTGATACCAGCAGCTGAGCTCCATCAAAAAATCAAAATCAGATAAATTGTGCAATTTGGAAAAGGTCAAAAAGAGTTATGAAAATGTCAACTTGACAGTGCACGTAGAGACAGACGGGAGGAATCTAACACACACGATCTTTTTTTCTTTTAAGAATTAAACCCACCAGTCTGAAAAATTTACAGCAAACTGGATAATTCCTCCCTCCAGCTAGGTGTCCACGTGTTTACTTAACTTGATACATAAACATCCAAAATTATATTCTTTCTCCTGTTCATTCAAAAATAATAAGTAAAGTACACCAGTACCTAACTGATCCTGCCTGTAAGCGATACTCATTCACCACACTGTTACAACAAAGGTTAAGTGAAACTGATTCAAAAACAGTGACCGGGAAAAGAAATCAATTAGAAATAAACTGTGTCAGCTCAGTCAAACAAGTACAGTTATGCAAAGATAAGCAAAAATGATTAACTGAAAAATGGATTTCAATGAGTCATTTACATAAAATATCCCTTTTCAAACATATTAGGGAGTCTGTGGCTGAATAAAAATGGGATTTTGGTTGCTATTATTAATTTAAATCAGCAAATGTTGCGGCCAATTTGCATAAGTTGTTTGTTTAATCTGCACAGTCAAGGACATTAACAAATAGCACCATGATATGGGTACTTGTGCAGTAAATCTGCATGTGCAGTGGACAGAAAGGAGACGAGGGTCATTTTGTTTGCGACGATTACATTTTTAGCTCTTTGAAAGTCACCCTTGCAAACCTCTTTTCACAGAAATGAAGCAGTGACTCTAAATGCAACTGAACCAACGGAGGATCGGACATTTCTCTCTACCAGAACAGTCGTGGACGCTGACAGCAGCAACACACTTAAAGTTGCACTAAACAATATTTTTACACTAACAAACGGTCAGATCACTTGAACTGTAAAAATGAGTCTCTGTGAACCATTTGCTGCCTGCTAAGAGAACAGCATTAACAACTTGTGGCTGAAACTATTAAAGAATTTAGTAGGTAAACAGCCAGTCTCACACATTTGGTGGAGAGCAAAACAAGAGCAAGACCTACAGTTTATATAAAACATGACAAATTAGCACCCAAGTAAATCTCAATTTGCTTGTAGCCTTCATTACAAGGAAATGGCTTTAACGGGGTTTTTATCTCTTTTTAGTCTTTTAATGATTGTGGAAAAAAACTTTTTTGCATTTATTTTTACTATGATGCTTTTGTGACATCTCCTGTGCAGTGGTGATTTTGCCTCTCCCTTAAAGCCTCACTCCCTGTTTACTGTGACTTGAGGGTGGGTGAGTGAAAGAGAGCCTTCAGTCAGCAGCATCTATGTGAAGAAAGTAAAACTATCGAGGTTTTGTTGTTGAACCCGTGGATGCGGATCATATAGATTCTCTCACGTGGTGCCTTTCTCTCACGTATGCCTCCCATTGCTTTAAGCATTGGTTATCTCTTGCTTGCCCGGGGTAGTTGCCATGTAGATTCCCAAGGCATGTGAGTCTACTGCCACCTGGGGCTCTCTTCACCCCTGCCTGCACCCTCAGATATCCCACAGTGATGGCAGACAGTCTGTTGCCCTTGCAAGACAGCTTTACAGTCAAAAACACTCCCTAGTCAGGACCCCGTGAACCAGTGTCCTCCACCACTTTCTTCCCTTTATGTGTTTTTCATTTTCATTTCAAGTTAAAGAAAGCGTCCTCCAAAAGACATAATCCCATTCACTCATACATATTTGTGTTAACTGATCAAGACTATGTGCCGACTGTAACATCAGAATGACTTTTTTTGTTTGTGCTCTACATCGATCTTTTTTCAGACATGCAACTAAAATGTCTAGATCCCTCTTTCTGTATGTACTGCATTTCTCAACGTGAATGATTCAAAGCATGCCGAAGCGTAAATAAAAGTATATGCATAAAAATATGTCTGCAATGAGCCTGTTTTACACAGTCAGGAGGAAGCTGGAGGGAATGGGACAACGATCTATCAGAGGTGTGAGAGAACGCCAGAGTCTTTGGGTTTGAGTTAATCATGCAGGAGAGTCGTCTGGTTTCTGCAAATCACAAAAATGAAAAGGAGTTCCAGCAGCGGGCTGAAAAAACAAACAAACAAACACTAATATTTCTTTTAAACCTGCATGACTACCCTTGAACTTTAGCTTGTTCAACATATTTTATACTTGTGTGTTTTCAACTGATTTTTTGTTATTAGAGTTACTCATT